TTCCCTAGCCCACATCAGAGTGAAAAGTCTTGGAACTGACTAGCTTCTACCAAATGCCTTTTCATTTTTGGTGTTTCTATTCTGACATTATTAATGCTAGGACACTACTGGAAAAACATTAGGTCTCTTAAAAAGATTGTTGTAATACCCAATAATGTTCTCACATGCATTATGCATATTTAAAAATCAAATCTTGTACAATCTCTAAAAGAAAATGTAATGGAAGGGCTTCCAGACAGTCTTGATGTATCTGAAGCCTTTATTTTCCCTAACGGAACAGAAATGGTGTAGAATGGGTTGAATGCAGTGGCAGTGCGGATGGGAGGCAGGGTAGGCATGGAGCTGCGTACCCATAGCTGCGTCATGTGCTTGGGAGCACACCCACACCACACAATGCTAATGTATATGTTTTGTGCGGAGAGAGCAAAGAGGCTTCAGTCCCCTGACAAATGTGCTCCTGCTGTGTCACACTGTGCTACACTGTAAGGATTCCACAGGGTTAAATTTCAATGCCTAAACAATTTGTTCACAGTCTTTTCACAGTCTTTTTCTCATTCCTGACAAAGGAAATGATTGCACAAGGCAAACCTTCAAAGCGATCTGATTGTGCAGTACACAATCCAAATCAGACCTGGCATAAATACACCTTTACACCAGCTAGGCAGCTCTGTCCTAGGCCAGTGGAATTGTTTGGCCTCTTGTCGCAGGACTCTCCTGGACGATGCCACATCCCGTTAGGCTGTGGCAGTGCAAAGTCCACTCCTACATACTCAGAGCCCCCCCTCAGCTCTCCTTTGCTGGCGGGCTGCTTCCCCCGTTGCATATACACCTTGTGGCTGGAGGCTTCCCTGGAGCTACACGTCTGCACAAGGCAGATCTAGCCCTTTACAGCAGAATTATTTGTATTTTAGGCTTACATTACTAGGGTAAGAACTGTTTTTTTTGCTGTAGTGTTTCACAAGCTCTGATGTACAGCGTTTCTATTCCATCCTCTCATTTGGCTTAAGTCATCATCTAAAACTATATTAATGTTTGTAATTGCTACTCTGGCAAGCTTCAAGTGAGTATCATTTGTCTCAATTTCATAGAATAAAATGTAGATTTGCATTTTAATTCATTGTGTAAATGCTGTTTTCATGCTAGTTTGTGACTGGGATGCTAGAGAAGATGAAGCAGCAGCTCATTTTGCAGCTTGAGCCTGACACCACCTTTGGAAGTTTGTCTCAGCTTACCACTCAACAGTGCCTACTTCTGAGCTTGGGACATACAAGCATTTCAAGTAAGAGTCCCTCTCACAGAGGTGGCTTATTAAGACACACAAAGAAAATGAAGCCAGTGCTTTGGCAGAAATAAACGTAAGTGGAGACAACACTTAAATCATTTTGCCAGTTCCTTTGACTGCAGCACTGGGATTTTTGAACCCATGTCTTTAAAGATCTTCTCTGGGGGCCGAGCCATGATTTTTGTCTACATTACTACAGCTATTATTACATCTACAGATGTAAACCAGGGCCTTGAAAGAACATGTGTATGTGTAAAACTTCACCATATTTCATTCAGTGGATGGATTAACTGGCCTACAAAAGCTCCATTCTTTATCTGAATGACTGGAAACCAAGAGGATCTGAAAAGGGGAAATTCAAGGACTTCAACTCTTGTGCATATAATATGTTCTGCGTTTCCAAAGGGATTTACCGAGGGATTGTTTTGTCTCATCTGAAGTGATCAATCTGCTGGAGATCTGCATCTTAACAAACAAATGAACAAAATGTTGAAGGAGCTGAATGGAACTGGTGAAGGAAGAAATGAATCTCCCTTTGTGAAGTAAAGCATAAAGTTACTGTAATTAGGAAGTGGATGGAGTGTGGGTAGATCCTCAGTGTTCTTGATTTGGTCTAGGGGGTTGTGAATTAGCTTGGCCAAAAGGGAGTTTTAGGCATGGAGGATGCTGTGAGATAGCCTTCAACTTCTGGTGTCAGTTGGAGTCCTCTGATTTCTGGGCATGTAGGGGTGGCTGACTATTGTCTCTTCGGGTGAGGAATCTCTGAAAGCATGCTTGCCTCATTATCTTCCTTAATGGCTGCTTGGTGTCCAGTATCTTGGTTGTTAGAGTTTTAGATCTCATTCTGTTACGAGGGTAGGAAGGAAATATTGAGTAGCACTAGATTGCAAAGAACAGTGGTTCTGCTTCTTGCGCTGACATAGGATTGCTTTTATGGTCTTGGATAGTTACAACAAATCCCTATGTATCATCATCTTCAGCTGTGAAGTATCTGTTAGAGTCCTTTGTTAACTTGCAGAAGTGCTGGGAAAATTAAATTCATATGAGAGGTCGATGCAGCAGAACTTAAGTTCTTTGTACCTAATACCATATTCAGAAAGGAATATTGTTCAAGGACCTACAAAAATTTATGTAAGAAATCTTCAAGATGCTGATTTTTAGAATTTCAGTTGAACTAAAAGCCAGTGGATTTTGTGAGTTTCCTCATCTGACACAATTTGAAGGGATCTTGGAGAAGAGGAAATTACAATGTCTCTCATGACTATACTAAAACTATTGATGTCATTTTCATATAATACTTAACTATTAATATTGAGGCTACTATGCTGTATTCTGCAGTCAGCTCTATAATTTAGCTTGTGAAAATACTAATTACGTTATTACGGCTGTACTGTATTTCTAGATGCTGCACAAAAGATTGAATTAGAAAATACGTATAAGCAATACTAAAGCATATTTTGATTATGAGAGTGCCTTTTAAACCAGGAAATGGTATTGTGCTGCCTTTAACAAGAAGGTACTCTTACTTGGGTTAAACACATTTCTTAGTTGTTTGTGTTCCCTCCCACCCAGAGGTCCGATCACAAGGCTAGCTGAGAGCTTGGGGAAGTGCTGAGGACCATAAGATCTACTGTCTGTAGCAGAAACCAGTTGTGTTCAGTATGATGCCTCAGCAAGCTATGGAGAGTAGTAATGTGAGTGTAGTAATGTCATAATCTTAACAGTTTTCTACAGAGATGTTGAAGGCTTGCCATTTCTTCATAAACGTATGCTTGCTCCTACTAGTTCCTACCTCCAAACCGAGTTAAATGATAGGTACCCAGATTAACTTTAGCTATTCTGTATTTTGTTCCTTTTATAACAAAAATTAGATTTTGAGAGAGGGAAAGTGTGTTAATGTCTGTCTTTAAAACACAACTCTTGGTTATTTTTTATGTCAAAATCAGCAACAAAACTCTTGGTAATTTTGTGGCAAGACCTGTGCCCTTTGCTCTCAAGGAAAGTTTTGTCTTCACTGCTACGGACTAGTGATATGTTTTATCCCTGTTGTCCTATTTATAACTAGATCTGATGTCCTTTGTACATGCTCACCTTTCAATATTAGGTCAATGTTAAAGCCATTATCAGCCTAAAAGGTTGGATTACTACCAAGA